GATGTACGACAGCTGTACGAGTGCTTGCAGCAGTACGGATTCGGGTTCGGTCCATTGTTCCAATCCATCACCAACGCCCGGTACGATGACACAAGAGCAACGGCCAGTATCAAGACTTTTCAGTGGTCCGAGACGAGTGAGACCAACCCGAGGCAGCCACATGTGGTGCATCCATGTACTCTGGACGGCTTTCTACAGCTCCCTCTAGTAGCTCACACCCAAGGAGGGCCGTTGCAGACAAACACACTTGTTCCCTCCTTTATTCGACGGATGTGGGTGTCCAACTCTGGACTCAATTGGCCGCCGAGCAGCTCAGTCACGGTGGTGTCACATCTCATCGCTTTGGACAACCAGGGGCTGGAGGCTCAAATATCCGCCTTGACAGAGGGAGGTGCTGATGTCTGCGCTCGTATCGATGGCGCCCGCTTCTCCTTCATCGGTGGCTCCGGGCTTGCGGAAGATGACGCCCACGAAGGACCAATATCTTGGAATCTTGAGTGGCAGCCTGATCTGGACCTGCTGGGCCGTGAACAGATCCAAGACTTGTGTGCGGTCAAGTCAGCTGCAAACGATGAGCCTGTCGCATTCTTCGAAAAGCTCACATTTCTGTTGTTTGTTTTTCTATTCCGAATGCAGCGGGATATGAGATATTCGTGTTCTCCTGCGACGCCGACTCATCTGCAAAGGTATTTGGGCTGGGCACGCGAGCAAATACACAAACATGGAGGGAACATACAGGCCAAGAACAACCTCTCATGGACAAGCCTTGCTCTTGACGACCGGTATCTAGAGTCATTGTATCAGGAAGTCGAAAGTTCCAACGCACAGGGTAGAGTCTGCGTGACAGTCGGTCGAAAGTTGACGCAGATCCTTCGTTCTGAGATCGACGTCTTGGAACTTCTCATACAGTCTAAACTTCTCACAGACTTATACCATGAGCTTTCCAACATGCCAAAAGCGTTTAAAAGCCTCGATATTTACCTCACAGCGTACGCACACAAGAACCCTAGCTCTCGCTACTTGGAGATTGGAGCGGGCACAGGAGGATGCACAGGGAACATCCTCAAGGCCTTGACCAGCCACGGAGATCCCGTCTCGGCAACGGCATTATATTCCGATTACACATTCACCGACATCTTGGAGAGCTTTTTCGAAAAGGCAAGAGAGAGGTTCCATGGCTATCGAAGCATGGTGTTCCAGCGTTTGGACATTGAAACCACGCCGGGCAGTCAGGGGTTCGATCCGGGGTCTTACGATGTCGTGGTCGCGGCTAATGTCCTCCATGCCACAAAGGACCTCAGCAACACTCTGAAAAACGTGTTCGAGCTTTTGCACCCGGGCGGAAAGCTCATTCTATACGAGATCACGAACCCGGACATTCTTCGAAACAACTTCACTATGGGCCTTTTACCCGGGTGGTGGCAGAGCACTGAAGCTTACAGGACCGACGGACCTTGCATATCGAAGAGCAAATGGCACGATGTGCTCCTCAAACGTGGCTTCACCGGAGTGGATTTCGCTTTTCGAGACTATGAGAATGACGCTTGCCATGAGTTCAGCGTTCTTATTTCCACAAAGCCGGACAGAGCACCCGCGCTGAATATCTCCCCCAATGTAGTGACAGTCACCGGTCAAAGCACAGAAAGCCAGGTCCAGCTTGTTTCGGAGGTCCAGAGCTGCCTGGGAATAAGCAATATGGCTCGGAACCACATTGTCAGTCTATCTGAAGCCGCATCTTTGCAGGCGCAATCAGGATCGCTCTTCATCTTCACCGACGAGCTATATGAGCCGATGCTTCAGGGCCTCGATGAGACCAAATTCCGCCAGCTTCAGCAATGCCTGACCAGCTGCGATACCGTCATATGGCTGACCCGTGCAACTAGTGATGGCTCGTCACCTCCGTCTTTCAGCCTGGTGGACGGCCTCGCCCGTGTACTCCGTGTCGAGGAGGCTGTTAAATTCGTCACGATTGCGCTGAATCCTGCTTCCGAGAGTCGCGGGTCCTGGGCCAATTCTGTTGCCCGCATAGCACAACTGACTCTTGGTGCCCCTGCAAATCGCTACGAGTCTGCATACGAGGAAAGGGACGGCATGCTGCGAGTGTGCAGGCTAAAGATGGCGCAAGATGCCAGCAAAGTGATCCGTACCTCGGCTCTGACCAAAATATCGGCAGACATGCCGTGGGGATCTGCTCCCCCCTTGCGGCTCACGATCGGGTCGCCAGGCATGTTGGACTCTCTGCAGTTTGTAGAAGACGAAGAAGCCTCCAAGCATCTGGAAGCTGATGAAGTTGAGATCGAAGTTCACGCGGTCGGCCTCAATTTCAAAGATTGTCTGATTGCGCTTGGATCAATGTACGGCGATGCTCTCGGTTACGAGTGCTCGGGGATTGTCACGCGCGCTGGATCAGCAAGCCAATTCAGGGAGGGGGACCGTGTGGCCATGTCCACGGTGGAGGCCTTCAGGACATATGCTCGGAGCAAGATGCATGGCGTCTGCAAGCTGCCCCCTGAAACTTCGTTCGTAGAAGCAGCTGCCCTACCAGTCCAGTTCATGACTGCCTGGGTATGCATCCACGAACTGGGCCGGCTTCGACAGGGCGAGTCGATTCTAATACACGCGGGTGCCGGGGGAACAGGCCAGGCTGCGATACAGCTGGCAAGTCTGATCGGGGCCGAGATATTCGTCACTGTGGGATCCGTTAAGAAGAAGCAACTTCTCGTGACGGAGTACCGGCTTCAAGAAGACCACATACTCTACAGCAGAGACACGACTTTTGTTGATGACCTGAAGCGCATGACCCGAGGACGCGGCGTCGATGTGGTGTTAAACTCGCTGGCCGGAGAGAGTCTCATGGCCTCTTGGGACTGCGTCGCCCCATACGGACGCTTCGTCGAGATTGGCAAGCGAGACATTCTGGCAGACTCGGGGCTTCCAATGCTCAATTTCAACGAAAACAAGACCTTCTCTGCCTTTGACGGCGCCAAATGGGTGCTCGAGCGCCCCAGGGAGGCGCAGCGGGCAATCGAGGCCGTCATCGACATGCATGCCAAGGGGCTGCTCCATACGGCACGTCCGCTCAACGTTTACAGCATCTCTGACGCCTCCAAGGCCTTCAGGGCATTGGCAGATGGCAAAAGCAGCGGCAAAGCGGTGCTGGAGGTGAAACGAGACACCATAGTCACGGTAAGAGTTGACGTCCCGGTTCCCGGTGCTGCCTTTCTTATGCGGAACACAAGAACTGAAACTGAAACTGGGATCATAGGCCATGCTCAGTCGCGAACATTTGTTTACTTTCGACGAAAACAAGACATATGTGATTGCCGGAGGACTCGGAGGCATCGGCCGCAGCATCGCAAGATGGCTCGCCAGCCGCGGCGCTCGGTGGATGCTGCTCCTCTCCCGTTCTGGAGCCACTTCAGCGACAGCCCGAGAGCTGGTGCAAGAGTTAAAGAGCGCTGGAGTCTACGTGTCCATGCCGGCTTGTGATATCAGTAGCAAAGACGTTTTGGAGAAAGTCTTGGCTGAGTCTGAGCGAGAGATGCCACCCATCAAGGGCTGCATCCAAGCATCCATGGTTCTACAGGTATGTCCAAGAAGCTCTCTCATGGCCCATATCCGCAATTTCTCAACAAGACTACTTCTAGGACGAGGTATTTGGAAAGATGTCGTTTTCCCAGTGGCAAGCCGTTTTGAAGCCCAAGGTCGACGGCTCGTGGAATCTGCACGCTCTTTTGCCGCAGAAACTCGATTTCTTTGTGCTTCTGTCATCTGTTTCTGGCATCTGCGGTCAGCACGGCCAAGCAAACTACGCTGCCGCAAACACGTACCTCGACGCCCTTGCGCACTACCGTGTTGCGCGGGGCCAGCCAGCTGTCTCCATAGATCTCGGGGCGGTCATCTCTGACGGCTATCTTGCGGAGAACGAGGCTATGCGGAATCGACTAATGTCCTATGGGTCCATGCTTCCCATCACTCGGCGTGATATTTACAGCCTCCTCGACTACTACTGCCATCCATCCAGGGAGGTTTTGACGGCCGTTGGGTGCCAATCTGTGGTCGGAATCAACACCAGGGCCAATATAGTCGCTCAGGGACACGAGGAGCCAGATTGGCTGCAGCAGCCGCTATTCAGCACCATGAATCGAGCGTCGAGCGTCGAAAGCCCCCAGTTCGCTCCCGGGGAAGACACGCGAGACATTCGAACGAGGGCTATAGATACCCGGTCCCTAACCGAGGCCGGAGCCGTGGTTGCGGAAGCACTGGTATCCAAGCTGCGGCGCAACCTCTCGACGCTTCCAGATGAAATGGACATGCACTCGTCCATCCCAACGTACGGCGTGGACTCGCTGCTCGCGGTGGAGCTGCGCAGTTGGATCGCCAAGCACTTCGAGGTCGATATTTCCATTTTTGAGATGCTGAGCGGCACGAGCTTTGCCAATCTTGGAGTCGCCGTGGCGAGCAAGATGTCGCACAGTCGGTGGCGCGAGGATCTGTGAGGTTTGTCTGCACATTTCTATGACAGACAGCTTGTGTGCGCCATGGTTAGACAGAGTATTTACTCTATCTCGAGTAACAGTATCCTGGCAAAGCTCGAACACGGAAGACCATAAGTACGAATAAGCAAAAGGTTGTATCTTCGATGACTTCAAGCTCAATTTGCCTGCTTTTCCGCGTGATTTCACTTCGTATACTGCATAAAGCTTTCCTGTAAATACGGACCTCATGGCAGGTGTAGTTGGGTTCAGCAGATATCTTTTTGTGCAGTCAATAAGGTATCTGGAAGAACGTTGCTTCTAGATATGAGCAGAACTAGCTCCAGCAATCGCAAGTCTTACCAGATTCCCCTCAGTGTGATACCCTTACCCCACGACGAAACCGGTCCGGAGTTCGGGGAGACAGTGTAGTAGGGTCTCGCGGCAAGATTGGTAGCATACGAGGACACACATCCAACGTTTCTTCTATGGGAGACCAACGAAGCCTTGGAGCGTATCTCCCGTCTAGCCGGGAGCGGGCCTCGGTCGTCCCGGGGCAAAGGGGAGGGGATGGTTAAGTCCATTCCTTTTCATCATCCAGCTCTTGACTTTTGCAAAGTTTCGACACGTATGAAGAGCCTGAAAATTGGGCATGGGACGATTCATTCTCTCATTCCAAGTGACTAGCAAGGGCGTGACGTCAATGTTGCACATGAGTGCTTGACGTACGTAGTCGACACAGTGGTCTAGCGACAGGTTTCAGTATCTGACCGCTAATCGGGAATCTTTATCTTTGCTTACTGATGTGCGTCTTGAAGACAGGCTCGGGGTCGTTCATGGGATAGTAGTCAGGGCGCAGAGCACGGCGAATCATGTTCTGAATGCATATGCCGTCAACATCGTGAAGCAGACACGAGACAGGGAAGAGCTCACCAGACAGTGTATTTGATGGAAGCCGTCTATTCCAACTAGGTAATGTCCGCTGTCTTTCTTCAGAGTTTTTCCTTGAACTGAAGATGCCTCTGCGCCGATGAGATCAACACCATCAACTTTGCTGCCAAGTTAGCGAAACCGCAATATTTAAGGGGGAACTTCAGAGGGGAGGGTCACCTTCGAGCAATGCTCTCCACGCCCTGTCTATCTCCTTGCTCGGTTCGCCCACGTAATTCACCGCATTGGGAGGCTCCGTGATGAACAGTGTGCCGTTGGCATCAAAGTCTAAATTGCCACTGAACCGATATTTCTCAATCTCTATGGCGGATCGGAGAGGCTCTATGTCGGATCCGTTAGTTCAGTGATGTCTTGCGTGTTCGGACGATGCAGCGTTGAGCCTTACCCAGGTCCGTGTCAAATCCTCTTGCAAATGAGTTCCGTTGTGCAAGACGAGTCGAAACATATGCAACTAGACCGAGTGAAGCGGCCCATAGAATGGCGACTATGGCATAGACGTGAAGTTTTTGGCACCAGCGCCATTTCTGTGGCGTACTTGTACCGCCGCGCAGGAAACCGAGAGTCTCCGGTAGGCCTGTCGACTGCTTCTCTTCGTCCAGAGACTCAGACTCCTGGCTTACTCTCTCATACATGTGGACGGCGAGGAGGAGCCCGGATATACTCCTTGGGTCTTGCGGGGTGTAAGTGAATGTGGCTCGAATTGGGGAAGAACGGTGGGGCGTGATGCGTTCAGATGGAAGAAGTTGGGTCTCATTGCAAAGCCAGAGAGGCTGGCCTGCTTCGTTGTTCCAGCAACAGCTATGGGCCCAAAGTAAGGTGAAAGTGCGGACGAAGTAGTGAGAAACCTGATGGAATCGTTAAATCGGCTTACACGATGCGAATGGCGAGCACGTCATGGCTACATTTAGTAAAAACATGTCCGTCTAGGCACGGTCCACACTCGGTAAGCGGAGCCGAAGACCTTTCAGTTCAAAAACCAAACCGGGTATCCCAGCATCCAGGATATATGTCTCGCACTGTAAGACGAGAAACCTCTGGCCAGTACGAAGTATTGGTGGTTCTGTGATCTTGTGCCACCGCTCTTGCAGACCCTTGACCGTCACCATGCATCGTGTGCGCAGGCTGCCTGGCACGCGTGCATATGCAGGCCTCTCTGTGTTGGGTACAAATTCTCAAGTTATGACAAAATGACTGCAACTTCTGGAAAGTTGGGCTCGCTGGGAAACTGAAGATCGACAGATGGATGGCCATGGCACCCCCTCTACCCCGTCAGCGCCGGCGGCTTGTGCAAAGAATCGGGATAAGATAGATTACTCCACGCAACCACGCCATGGCGAGCGGGGGTTAACACGACCAGACTTCTGCCAACCATGACAACATGGAGCGACGTCGCGTGCCGTGATCCGTGAGCCTTGTACCATCAGCCCCGTTTTGCAACCATCCTACGTGTACATACCGAACAACATTAGGCAAGCCCTTTGCACATAGCCTCGGTCATGTTCTCTGGTGCGGCTTTGGACTAGTCTCATGTCACGATCACGATGCTTCATATCCATAGAGTCGCCGTTTAAAATTTACTTTTATGGCACCAAAAGGTCATGTTGTTGTCTGTTAACCCAAGATTGATATACAAATTTGATGATGTTTCTTAAGCTAGAGGTCAAGGTAGTAAATGACAGGAATAAATGTTGGCGAAAGGCTAATCATTTGATGAAATCGCCCCGGACTCGCTACTCATAACCTAGAGCTGTACTGTAGTCTCCCAGGACAACTGTCCGCCATCCCGTATCATATCTACCACTCGCCATCCAAAGTTTTTAGGTGAACGGCTAAATCCGTATATTCGGCTCGTGTAGTTGCAAGATATTGGTGTCCTTGGAGATTACAGCCCGCCTTGCTGGGACTGACCCTCGGCCTTCTACTCAGTGTAAGTCTTCCAGTTGTTGTCCACGATGGAAGACTCAAGCTTGTCGTCGACATAGGTCTTCCAATTGTTATCCACAATTGACGACTCTACCTTGTCCCGCTTGTCGACGTAAGTCTTCCAATTGTTGTCCACGATGGACGATTCGACCTTGTCGTTGATATAAGTCTTCCAATTGTTGTCCACAATAGACGACTCGACCTTGTTGTCTGTTTGATTAATTAGCTTTATGGATTCTATATCCATGACAATCATGCGCTACTGACTCGCGATGGGCGAAGCAGCCACTAGAGCGGACAGCGAGGCGAGGGCCAGATAGATTCGTTGGGCGTGCATGTCGGTACCGTAGGGGGTTTTCTGCCAAGATTGTACTGCGTTGTTGTTTTTTGAAGGCTAAAGAGATCAAGGTCAAGAGATTTGCACCGTAGAGATATTTGTCTTGTTCAGGCACCTAGAGGAAGCATCAATGATATATAGCCTCATTCATCGTGGCAATCATTTCACTCGCGCACGCAAGTATCCATCTTGATTCCGCTTGTATACCTACGACATAAGTGTCGGCGTTTTCCATTTGAGGACATGGAGGAAGTTGGGATCAAGATCAGACAAGCAAGACGCTGCCAGGTGTATCGTCACTAGCTGCATCCAAGAGGGTGTGGCATTCGAGTGAGCAACAAGCCCAAGATGTCACGTTCCGCAACTCGTTCTCGCTCAACCCCGCAGGCACTCGTAGCCTACGAGCCGCTGACCAGAATGCGACGGTTTCAAGGGCCTCGCTTAAGCCTAGTGGGTGTTCAGGCGGAAACGTGTACACCAAGTTGGAATTGCACAATGAACACTGTGTAGGTTGACCTGGGATCGTCTGGTTGAATGCAAGTATTCGGGGATATCGCAGCCTTGGCCCTCACTCCATAGGAAGCCCTCGCCACCTCGTCTTCCCTTCGTCGGCTCTCTGCACTTCCCCTTAGATCCTCCTATGGCCCATCTTTCCAAAAAGATATCCTTGAGACCTGCAAAATCCAGCCACGCTTCGCCACAGCTCTAACAGCACGAAAGCTGACTCTGCATATGTATGTAACTCCTCCTTCACTATCCCGGGCGCTTTGTTCTACTCAAGGTTTCGACCACCATCACAACCTCTGTGTTTGCGATGAAACCCAAAGGGCCTGGGTAAAGTCAGCTGCCAGACGGAATCACAAGTGCGCCCAGATTGTGCCGCACCAGGCATCCAAATGGCTCGGCGCATACCAAGCTGGGCAGGTCTAAAGAAACGCTTGCTTCCGAGAATCAAGAGAAAACCCTTGAATCGCAGGGGCGCCAGCAAGCTGCATTTACGTCGCTGCGGTCAGCAGAATGTTGCTCGGATTATATGCAGAACGGATGGGAACCTTTGTGATCTCGGTCCTTGCCACATTGAGCCATCGAGCGTCGATCGTGAGGGAATCTTCTTCTCCGATGCCTGGGGCAGACGCAATCTCCCCACGTCGTCTTGCGTAAGCGCTCCTTGGTCTCTGTAGGCCAATTTGGCATAATATTGTGGTCAAATTCGGGAATGGTGTTGACTGCTGTGAGAACGAATCTTTATTTGTCGATTTCTCTTCAATCAGGCCAACTCAATGAACGACCACCATCGTTCATCGCCCGACAGCTCTCGAGCTCGTCTGTTCGGCGATGGAGTTGGCTTCAAGCTATCCCGTACCACAGTTCCCCTTAGCAGGAGGAAATCACCATGTTCCCCCGGTGTCTCATGGCCTTGGAAGGTATCAACACTTGTGTTTGCTTGCACCACCGTCATATTTTATATCAAGTCCCTGAGGTCCGGCGTTGCCATCGCAAGGTATCTTGACACAGACATGAGTATGTGAGGATGAATTCGTTGCTTTGCGAGCAACTCTGGCCAACAACACCATTAATATGGACGGTAGGAGCGGTCCAGCCACTTCTTTCGCTCGAAATGAAAGTCTTCACTGGTGCATTGACGTACGACGAGACCGGTAGCCTCATCCGAGAGCAAAGCCCCGGCCGACCCTTGTGGGTTGGCGACCCAGGCCCGGAAATGGACAGCTTGTGGGATCACATTGAAGCCGGTATTTTCTCAGGTTTTGTTGAAAACTGAAGTGCGTTTCCCGCTGAGAATTATGCAGCATCGACTATTCTACTGCAGGGAGAAGAAGCAGACTCGGTCAGGGACCGCACCACTCTGTATGACGGTTACTGGATGACAGGGTTAGACGTAATTCATCAGGTGCACTGCCTGGTACGCAAAGTTCTCCCAGCATCTCCATCTCTGTCTGAGCCTCCTTCTAATGATCAAGATGAACAGAATATGGTACGGAAAGCTCTGTACCCGGAATATTACAAGCCGCATCAGAGCCAACATACGCACAAGATGCACTGGGGCAAGTCTCCCGAATGTCGAGCAGGGTGAAAGAGGGCATCAAGCTGACTCCGATGCGACACAAGAGCATTGTTTGGATTATATTCGGCAAGCAATTATGTGCAACGCCGACATCACCCCCGTCACCAACAGCTGGCACGAGTCTGCTGGAGTCTTTGGGCCAGATTTCGACACGCGGCACACATGTAGGAACTTTGATGCAGTGGTGGAATGGGCGCTTGCAAGAACAGTTTCGGCCAGACAGGAGCAGGGTCGTGGCTCCGAGACTGCCAGGGACGAGATTAATGTGATGGAAGGAGAACGGCTGAAAAGTTGGATTGCGAAGATGAAGAAGGCTCAGGGGGGGCACGGCCGCAAGAGAGGCTAGGATCGCGACGGTGGACTTATGTTCAGACATTCTAGTCTTAAAGAGTTGTGGTCGCGACCACGCTTTATTTCCATGGCCCATCTCTTCTTGCCTCGCAGAGCTTTGCAAGAGCACCATTGCGGATAGCCAACAGCTCATCTGGCGGCCCATACTCCACCATGACCCCTTGGTCCAGCACTGCCACTCTGTCAAAGGCACTAATACCCGACAATCTATGCGTTACCATGATGACCGTTGAGTTTTGGAGCTCCATCGCGACTATTTTCTGGATCTCAGACTCGGTCGTGGCGTCAACGCTGACCGATTCTAGCAGTCAGCATCCATGCAATGGACTTTTCCGAGAGAAAGGAAGAAGAGGAACAGGTCTACCTGCTAGTCGGCTCGTCGAGCATTATCAATGGGCTCTTTCGCAGCATTGCTCGAGCGAGGCAAAATAGCTGTGCTTGGCCGTGGGACAAGCGCAAGTCGTTCATTTCAGAATCCAGAGCCCGCGCCGCTGTAAGCTCGTCGTCGCCAGCGCCTCGTTGCAATGTCGTCCAGAGGGCTACCCTCTCTAATGAGGCTCGCATTTCGTCGTCCGATGACTCCGCAAGCGGATCTAGGTTCAAGCGCACTGAGCCGCTGAACAGGAAAGGGTCTTGCGTCACGCAGGTGACGTTCTTCCGAATGTCATCTCTGGGAAGTGTAGATAGGTCTATGCCGTCGAGGACGATTCTTCCGCCTGATCCGTTGACCATTCCAAGAACAGAAGAAATGAGAGAACTCTTCCCACTTGCGTGAGATGACTGTTTAGACTTCAAGCTGCTCTGGTGAAGTTTGAAAATGGGTGCCTCTTACCTGCCAGTTCTGCCACACACCGCAACTTTCTGGCCGGGGAGGATGGAGGCGGTGATTCTATTCAAGACGGTAGAGCTTCCGTCCTGTGTTAGCGTTTCAATCGGACGAGCTTGATTCTCGGGGTATTCGCATACTCGTGATAGGATGCTGACCAGTTGTCGAATGTCAATGACCCTTGGGCGGGCCATCCTGACGGCGGCCTCTCGCCTGGATCGACCTCTTGCGCTGTATCCTCTGAGAAAGTCTTCACTCGAGATACCGCACCAAGAGACGTTTCCAACTCAGTCCACACAGTAATCAGGCCAGCTAGAGACTCTCCAAAGGTCATCAGGTTGACTAGGGCAATACCTATAAACCCTGCGCTGATGTTTGACGCTCGCAAGACTATAGGCAGGCTGGTCAAGAGAGTGGCGAGCACCGCCACGATGAGTCCCAGGACAACTGCAAGCCACTGTTGGACACAAAGGAGGAGATAAAAGGGCTTCTGGCAAGTGTCGAGGAGATTGAGGCTCTTTTCGGTGTACCTTGCACCCCAGCCAAAAGCCCGAATACTAATCATGCCGTCGATTGTCTCGAGAACATGAGAGTATAGCGGTGCCTTTGACTCCAGCCTGTGGAGATTCAGCACGCGTGCCGAGGGTTCAAAAGAAAACGCGGACTTACTCTAGCAGCCGAAGCTGGCGGGACGTGCGAAGGTAGAATCGTTGCAGAAAATACAGGACACCAGCCATCAAGGGTATTACGGCTGCAAAGTACGGCAGGGCGACGATGGCCAGCGCAGCCACTCCCAAACAGCCGGCAAACCCTGAGACCCATTGTCAGATGATAGAGGCTTCGTGAAACTCGCGATCGTGGGATACATACGATAGCTCGTATTGACGAGGGCACCAGGCAAGCTTAAATCGACGAGCTGCATATCTTGGCTGAATCTGTTGTCCCGGGTATACGTAGTGAGCGTTCTATAAGCTCGTAGCGACTCGTTGCATAGTCTCATACCTGTTGATGAGTGTGCCCGTGTCGGTCCTCAATATGAAGCCCATGGGAGCTCTGGGCATATTGTGAGCGACTGGTGGCATCTTGGGGCTATTGACTCTTATATGCTTACCGCATGGCTGTCCGCAACACCACCAAATGGAGATTCTGAGCGGACCTTGGCACAATAACGACGTAAAGGTAGCTTTAGGCGCGTGACATTTCATGAGTCTTTGTTCTGCACATTACGACGGACGGTAGACTTACTACACCGCAGTGATGAGACTGACAACCCGGATAGCGGCAAAAAGTGCATACAGTCCGAGCCAGTACGCAGTACGAACGTCTCCGTACTTCTCGTTGCTTTGCGACCACAACGTGAGCCAAGCATCTGGGGCGGCTTATTAGTGTATTTGCCCTGTGCGTGAATGTCGATGGTGTAACCATGCAGTCTGGTGGCACAAAGGGGGGAAGGGGGACCAGTACATTGCATAGATTCGAACGCAGTATTTAGAACCACGAAGAGGCCAAATATGAAGAAGCTCAGCCAGCCGAGTGACGAAAAGTAGTACTTGTAGATTGCTATATCGCCAATCTGTCTGTCTTGCTGGGTAGAGGCGCTTTGGTCGTGGGTCTGCTCCGGCGACCGTTCTGCAGACGGAGCTGACGACTGGAATGTCGTTTCATTTGGTGGGCTTCCAAGAATATCTTTGATACGATGATCAGAAGGGGGAAAGCTGTTGGGCGGGCCCTGTTCTATCATCCGGCCTTGTTCATCGAGAACAACAATGAGGTCAGCCATTTCTAGTCGGTCCACTACATGGTACGGTAAGTAAGCTCAGTGATTTCCACACGTCTCGCAAACTGTACGCACCCATATGTGTTGCCAAGATTGTTGTTGTCCCGAGTCTCCGAAGTAAACCTGATGGCCCAAAGACTCGCATCATTACGACACTTCGAGTGATGGCGTCGAGGCCGCTAACAACGTCGTCGAAAATGGCTATTTGCTTTCGAGAATAGAGCACCCGCGCAATTTCCTGGAGACGTTAGAGAAGAACCGGGCATGCTGGTACCTGCAGTTACTTGCCAGTCGCTGTTTCTGCCCACCACTGAGGGAAACCCCTTTGCTGCCTACACGGGTTGCGTCCCCACTGGGAAGCTGTTGTAGGTCCACGTCCAGGGCGCAGGCCTGAATAACCACATCATACCAGTCAGTCTCGAATTCTGACGGTCCAATGATGCAGTCCCGAATGGTTCCATTGGATATCCAAGGGGATTGGTTGCAAAATGCGACTTCCTTTGAAACGACCCAAACGGTTCCTCCGAGGATCAGCGTCTCGCCCAGGATGCCTTTGAGCAAAGTCGACTTTCCGCAGCCGACTGGTCCAAGAATGAATATGAGCTGCGTGTTTCGAGTGGCCCGCAGACTCGCGCAACGAACCACGGGCTGAGACTCCTGCCACCCGAATGTTGCTTCTTGGACGATGATTCGATCGAAATCTGGATCAACGACCTCCGATGCCGAATTACCCACAAACCGGAGAGGCGAGAGAATCTCCGTCTTGCCGCTCTTGTGCGTAGTCTCACATGATTGACGCAGGCAAGGCTGTCTGACGTCTTTCCAGGAGTCACTGGACAGGAATACCTGGATCCTTTCGAAGCAACCCAAAGCTGCGTATGCTTGAGGGATAGCGTACAATAGCATCTCAAGCGGGGACATCAGAAGGGTGAGGATAGAGAGAGAGGAAATGGCTTGCGATAAACCGAGGGGACCGCCTCCTTGAATCTTGATAACAATTGTAAAGGCCGCAAAAGTGATCAACTGGCATATTATAGATGGGAGATTGCCTTGGAAAATCCCCGTGTTAGTGAATGAGCCGCCAGCGATGCTCTACTGTCGGGGAAGCTGTCGACTCACTCAGGCACACGTTGAAACTCGATAAGCGCCTGAATCTCTTGGAAAGCTCTAGCTCGCGGACTCTCATGCCCTGAATGAGGTCCTGAAGCTTCTCGGACAAGCCTAACATCTTGGCGACTTTCATGTGGCTCAATACGTGCGCGGTGAAGTTGACCCTGTCTTCGATAGCCTCCAGCCAGATTCTCTGTCGAGCAGAAACGTACGTTGCCGCTTTCAACGACAATCCGGTCGTGACTTATCAAGAGTTAGCCATGCATTTCCTTAGAGCCTCTTCGACTCACCTAGTGCCAGGATTACGGGAGCAACGCAAACCGCGCCTAGTTGTCTTTGGAGAAACCACACGGCAATGCCCAGTTGGACGATGCTGGGCCAAATCTCCGCGACAACCAGGTACCAGGTTTCACAAATCCTTTCAACATCCGTCCCAATTAGGGTCATGACCGCAGCATCGTGAGCATCGTTCGATGGCGTCGGAGACTCTGTCAGTTTCTGGTAGATTAAGGCAATCAATCCACCCCGGGTCATCGTCATCAGGCGGTAAACGAGGTGTTGGTAGGAGCCAGTGAAAACCTGCATTCGAGCTTCTGTCAGTACAGCTTCCCTCGGGTAAGCCGCCTGTTCAAGGCGCGTTCCCGGCTTACCGCAATTGCGAAATACACGACGGCCACGGCCCCAATAAGGCCAAAGCCTTTACTGCGAGTGTCGTGGTTGTTGGGGCCGGAGATGTTCTCAACCACCCATTCGATAATAAACGGCTGTGCAAGCCGAAAGGCAACAAGCAGCAGTCTGGGAACAGCGATCTTCAGGGCTTCGCAGCGCCAGGCCTGAAGCGTAGCCAGGGCGAGGCTGTGCTTCCGTTTCTGATTACCTGTTGCGAGAGGGTCAGAAAACCGAGGCTTGCTTCCCGGTGAGGGCTGCAAGCCAACATTTGTCCCACTCAACACTCAACTCGGCTGCCAGTTTGTCCGAGGCTAGCTTTTCGTGGATTGAAGAAAGGTCTCCAATGCTGAGAATCTGTCTCGACCCGTGCTTGAGCAGCGAGTTCAACCACCAGAAGAATCCGCGGCCGAAGAAGCCGCTAGTAGCCTCCGATGAAAGGTGACGATGGGTGTCGATCAAAATGTGTCGCTTGTCAGTTGCCTCAAGTATCAGAACAAGGAGCTTGGCAGCGATAGAGGCGGTGAGGGTTGCGGCCACTGCGTCAATATGGCCAATGAGCCAGGCAGTGCGCACGCGGACCAGGTCCAGAAGCAGCGATATGGCCAGGTAACAGGCAATGACAAAGGACGGGCGAGGACTCTTTCGGTGTTCCAGGGGCGATATGACGCCAAGACCCAGCGCAGAACATAATTCCAGGGTAGACGAGGCGACTGAGATTCGAGCTGTCGGGTAGGAGCTCGTGGACCACAGGACGATGAGGACGAGCTGCAGTGACACGTAAAGAGTAATGGCCGCCTAGAACGGCCAATGAGCATTGTTTCCGTATTCATATGCGCCTTTGTTCACGCAAGGGACTGATTAAATGTGACGATAAAAGGGCCGCGGCGAAAATGACAGTTCAAGTTATGAGAGACGGACCAGTTTGGCTGTTAGGAGCAGCGACGGCTTAACCGCGACCGACTTTCTCTTCAAGACACGGGCCGTCTGAAAAGCGACCGCCAACAGGAAGCAGGCGGATGGCACCATGGACATGATGCTCTCCTCGAAAGTCACTAATTACAAAGCACCGAGAATCAGTTCCCGGTATTGAGACACGGAAAGCCGTCCCAGGGATTCCATTCGATACCTGTAAGGTCGAAGCCGCCTCGACAGGTGGCAGACAGAACTGCCGGCCCAAATGCGGTATCGTTGCATTCTGCATTCATCTCCACTCGACTGGGGCATGTCAATTGGTGATCGGGAAGAGGGGAGAGGTCGGCTGAGGCGATGCAGAGAGAGAAGAGAGGAGGGGAGAGGGGAGGACCAAGGCAGATCGCCCACGACGCGCCAATCATATGACGAAGATGAGTATGTGCTTATGTACCGCTGTATGTGAGAAGAGAGGCAAGTAGGGATGGCGCAGAGGCAAGCTTGATGGTCACTATTGTTTTGTTGGTACAGTACTTCCTAGCAGCCGGCAGCCAATGAGAGAGGGAGGAGGTAACTCCGAGGGCATCTTTGAGTCGTCATTTACACCTATGCTACGTCTAGAATGTAGACACTCTAACACACACAGTACAGTGCTCCGGAGACGGGGGACAATAGGGTTGCTGCAAGCCAGTCGAAAGCCAACGACCTACCATTTCTTAGCGACAGCCCTTTCTCTGGACTCCACTCTCTACTACTCCTTTGATTCTATCACCAGAACGAGGGGGAAAGGGGGGAAAACGCGATCCATTCTGTCTCTTTTCTTTACCCCCCTCCCCCTCTCTTTCTGTTCCGCTCTCTATAGACCCTGAATTCACGAAAACTCAGCAAGGCAGCGACAGGCAGAGACTTGAAGGTTCGGGTGGACAATCATCGACCCGGCCGGCGGCGGCAAACACGGAGGCGTCTCCGCTACTCGGCGCGCCGCTAGCCCGGGCAGCAGCGGGTTCCAGACCCACCAACCCCGGACCGGCTGCCGCTTCATGTATCGCCGCCAATCCGAGCGCTCCTACGCCTCACAAGAGCCCGCAACTCATCGTCTTCCTCGCCTTCGACGTCTTCTGCTCGGCAGCTGCCAGCTCGCTCTCAACCGCCCCCACGACACGGCTCGTCGAGGACATTCTCTGCCCGACGCTACTATGCCGGTTCCCGCCACGGGTCTGTTGAGGAGGAGCTGTGCAAGGTCGAGCCTGTTCAGTTCGAGCTTGCCTGGTTGAGCGGCGCCGTCAGCGCCTTGGAGGCCGTGATCGGTATGTTGAGCTGCTTCTGATGGATGTTGCCGCCCCGTGTCGCAACGAATGGCTGACTCTGGAGCTGCTTTTCCCCTTGGCCAGGAGGAGGGGTCGCGTTGCCGTATGGTGTCTGGGCCGACAAGTATTGACACATCCATGGCAATTACACGTTGAGCCCCGTCTTTGCCTTCTCTCTCCTCGGCACCTTCTTGACTTTGGCCTGTAACATGGTTGTCCTTCGCTTCCCGCAGCACATATCTGTTTACTGCGTCCTGCTTTGTTCGGCCCTCCAGATCATTGGCGGCGGCGAAAGTGTTCTCCTGGCCATGAACCTTTCAATCGCCGCCGATATCATTCCCACGGCTGCCAGGCATGTTCTCCTCGTCACATTTGCGGCCCCCCTTGCTTATCCGACCCTTCTCCCTCGCCCCAGGGCCAACTCCTTTATTCGCATGGCCGTTGCAAATTACGTCGACCGCTTTGTCGCCTCGTCTGTCTCTTCGAGGCTCATGTAGTCAGGTTTGACCTGGGTGCCCATCATGATCGTTCTCGTTGTCCTTCCCCTCGGTGCGAGTATCATTGTATTGATCCCAGAGACTCTGCGAGCACATACGCACACCCCTGGGCGGGAGCGTGAGCTGTACGACTCTGACGACGCGCTCAACAAGGGGTCGCTCTTGTTACGCGCCAAAAGCTACCTCAGAAATTGCCTCTCTCGCCTCGGCCGCGCCCTGTCCATCATCGAATCACCATCCGCCCTCTGTGTCTTGTTCGCGTTCGTCTCCGCATCGCCCGTCAGCTTGGGTACCGGCAACTTCATCGTGCAGAACGTCAGCAAGCGCTTCGGTTGGACCTTCAAAGAGGCAGGCTACCTAAGCTCTATCCAAGATCTTGGCGACAGCATTGTCCTCCTGGTTGTTCCTCCGGCCCTCTCTTGGCTTTTTTTGTCGCTGTTGATGCCGTTCCGTCTGTCCACCGTACGAAAGGGCCTCGCTCTGGCTCAAGCCTCTGCGCTCTTGATGACGTGCGGGACGCTTCTCATGGCCGGCCGTCCCGCATATGCTGCCATAGCTGGACAGGTCGTTGTAACGCTCGGAGACGGCTTTAGACTACTGTGCCGCTCAGTCATGGCCTCATCGACATCAAGCAAACGTCGACGCTATACACGATAGGCTCTGTTCTGGCCGGTCCAGCTTTAGCATGGTTTTTCTCGACCGGGATGAAGCTGGGCGGCGGTTGGGAAGGGCTTCCGTACCTTGGGATCAGTGCGCTCTGCTTGTTGACGACACCGTTGCTATTCTCTGTTAAAATCTCGCCAGAGCCGCGGAACTTAGGGCCACAAGGAATAGAATAGCATCTACCCTGATCTTCGAAACGTACTGACGAACCAGACGTGCCGGAACGGACCATGCTACGTAGCTCTGCTGCAAAATTTCACCGCCGCCCCTCCCCCGATAAATCTTACTCCGTCCCCCTTGCACTGTGTCCCAAGGCAGTCTGACTCGAACTCCTCAAGTACTGTAGCCTGTGGCTGTACGACTTGCGCATGGCTGATATCGGGGACCCAGATGAGAACCTCTCCGGATGCAACGACGCCCACCTCCCTCGTAGCAAAGGGCCTCGAGAAATTCCAAAAGTCACTTGGTGATCAGTATCCCCAGGCATGGGTGAGAGGCTGTGGCTTGAGAAGAGTAGCATCATGTTGCAGTTACCCGTTGATCTTGGTGTGGGGCCACAGCAGCCCAACTAAGTGTCTTCGCCACTTAGTTGGCCCAAAAAATCCGGCACAGCCCAAAAAATCCGGCACAGCAGGGTCCTCAATTTGGGGTGCAAAATCAAGGAAATTCTACGCTTCGCTTCATGGTGCCGTCAATGCGACTTCAAATAGCTAAAATATACATGTGATCAATAGCTGCGGATCACCTAAAGACGCAAGTAACAACGAAAAGTGAAAAAATCACGTCTTTGGGCCTATTTAGGAGCTGCCGCCTTCCAGTCGAAGAGATAGGAAGACCGCGTTTGTGAGTCCAAATAGACGTATTATGTAGTAATTTCGCCTGTTGTGCGTCTCTGAGAGCTATTTTATCCATACCTGTGTTCCTGGAGCGTCTGCTGTATCTTGTTGGACGATCGGGTGCGCGGTCGAGGGCATGGTGTATCGACTACCGCTTCAACCGCTGCTAACGGCGGCGATGAGGTATATTCTCTTGCGTGTCGAGTAAATTGTCCTCGTCTTCATCGTCGGCGCCATCCTCACTATGTTTGTCAAGATCGAGGCCTGTGAAATAGACGGTATCGTCACTGCCGGGCAACGACGACATATCTGTAAGTGGGCGAGGTCGGGTCGCTGCGCGCGCCTGACATCTCTGGCGGAGTTATTTCTCTTCGTGGTATCATAGAAAAGGATTCCTTGGATGGCTCTTTGAGCTCCCGCATGAGGTATCGCAACTTTGCTCCAGAGTGTAGAACTCAACGTCTCGTCCCGTAAACTCTAGCCAGGGCTTAAAGTTCAATGTCTTGACTCTGCCATTGACTAACTGCTTCTTCCCGACTTTATAGTCTTCTCGGATCTTCTGCATCTCTCCACGAACTCGTTTAAGATGCATCCTTATCTCCTGGCGCGTTTGAAGCCGGGTTTGCTTTGCCTGGAGCTCCTCATACTCCCGGGTGATGTCGGCCATGCTGGAGCTCGTGATAAACTCTCCGCGCGGCCTGACAATCTTGCCTCTCTTCATTCGATTCGCATACGCCTGGGTTCGGCTATTCTTATCGCTGACTATGCCCTGGGAATGTGACGCCATCGCGATAGACTCGGTGTTCACTTTCGCAAGAACCCGCAAGTTTTCTCGTGATGGCGAGCTCATGAGGGCCCATACCGTTGCCGGATATCATTGAGGGCATCCGCGGCGACTTGGAAACGCGTCTCCGAGGGTAGGAGCGAGGCGTATGCAGGATTGATCGGCTGCTGTTGTCGTAGCTGCTCGTGGAGGATCTTGGTGATCACCGGCGCTGGGTCGACAGGAAAGAGGCCTGTTTTTCAAATGCCGCCATAATGTTATGCCGCGTGAAGCCAGCCTCATATACGTCCTGAAAAGCTGTGAGGAAGTTGACCCGCGAAAATGATATGTTGCCTTCTGCGAGCGACTTCGAAGCGCTTTCTGATGTGCTGACTTTAGTGGCTGGAATACCCCAACATCAAGCGGCTGCATGAGGTGGGTGGAATGTGGAGGAAAATAGCAATGATGATATCAAACTTGATACAATACTCAGCAAAGTCAAGGGTGGTATGCCCTGTAAAGCCATCCACAACAAGCAATCGGTAGATCTTCTCGTCGTCAGGCCGTTGGTTTGGCGGCGCCTCACGCGACTCATCCCCATGTTGGGGCGCCGAAGATGCTCGTCACAGCCGAACCACTCTTCCAGCGAATTTCCTGACTGTTTTGCTTGCGCTGACGATGCCCAAGACCAGCAGTTGAAATGCCTTGCCCACTCAAGGTGTATCTCTGCGTTGGAAAAGCCAGTTGGCGACTGGGCAAACCGTACGCCTGTCATGATGTCGATGCCGGCCCAGTTGGTGGTAGGGTAATGTTGGAAAACAAGCCAGGGTGGAAGAGAGTCCCCCACTGCGTTAACTGAGGCAATTACCGTGCAGGATTCTCGGTTTGCTGGGTCTAAAACTCGGGGCCGGGTGCTCTTGACTCTAGTGGTGCGCGTGATGAGAACTTGGATGCGTTCTCGCAGGCACCCAATGCGTATTCCGGCCTCGTCTTCATTCCAGATCTCTGAACTGCCAATACGGTAGCTGGTGATGATTTCTCGAAGCTTTGAGTAGAAAAATTCGACTTCTTCTACCCCGTGGGCTTCAAAGGACTTCCGGGCTCGTTCAACTGCTTTGAGATACGTCTTCGCGATCGCAGGATGACTTCCACGCCAATTGTCAAGCCAACTTGACGAGACCGGGCGGGCATTGGGATCTCGACGCATTCTTATTGCATTTGCAACAGCTTCAAGTTGCTCTCTCGTGGCGGGCATGCCGGTGCGTTCCATCCACTGTACATACGCAACCAGGGCGTCGTCTTCGTCCTCCGTCAGCGCCAATGGACGCCCTGGAGCACGGAAAGGGGTTTCTTATAAATTAATGGCTCTCTGTACGGATGAGCTCTTCACATTGTAACGGATGGCCGCATCTCGCACGGAAAGAGGCGTTCTTTTTGGTGTTGTTGAGCGACGAACATCGGCTCTGGGGTCGCGACGAGACGCCAGAACGGCTTTGCTGCCTCCAGGGTAGCCATGTTATCTGTCATAATGTATTCCGGCAAAAAGATACGTAAATAAAGTCAAGTTGCGCGAGAAAACGCGGTTGAGATGCATAGGGTTGACGTTTTGGAGGTGGGCTGCTGTGCCGGATTTTTTGGGCTGTGCCGGATTTTTTGGGCCAACTAAGTGGCGAAGACACTTAGTTGGGCTGCTGTGGCCCCACACCAAGATCAACGGGTAGTCTATTAACATTGTTTGCTCGCCGGGCAAGGGGCGGGCACGATGAAATTTTATCCATCAGGCATACTTCTCTGAATTTGCTCGCTCCATTGTCTTGACTCGTCATTACCGGAATCACTCTTCGGTGCCGTGGATTGGTTGTCTTGCTCCCTGCAAGCTTTGAATGCAATGTGTGGTCTCTTGTTAAAAAAAAAAAAAAAAAAAAAAACCCTTTCGGCAGGGCCACCTCGTCAGGCCCGAGTTCCTTCTACACTGCGAGGAGACAAAAGTGTCGATGACAAGGGAGACGGAGATTTCTCGAAGGAGGATAAGCGAGAGCGTGTTCCAGACCATTCTATGTGCCTTGGCGTGGTTGGGTACATAAATAGCGTAAAGTCGGTCGTTGCAAATTCCCCGCCGCCCCCCACCGCCTTCCGCTTTAGGTAACTCCTTTCCCCTTTTAGCCCGTCGCTGTAAATGGGATTACTATAAGAACACCCGCCTTCCCCTTCTTACTCCTTATCTAGCTAAGGGTATAGGGGATTTATATTATCTATAAAGGGGTTATAGATTCGCCGGCTTCCTTACTATCGAATACTTCTCTTCTATATATTTATTTTCTACGATAAGTACTATAATAATAGACCGAGTAACTCTAAATAAGATATACTACTAGCCCTCGCTAAGTTAAGGCTATTCGTCTTATTAATCTATTATTATATAGAACTTCCCTACCTCGCCTACTCCCTCGCTAGCTACTTTAGGGTATTGCGACTCTAGATCTAGTAGTAAATCGGGAAACCCTCGTAGATCTAGCTAGAGCATCTTAGAGCCCGACCGCGGGACTCTTAGCGTTAAATCTAGTACTCCTATCCTTAAGTCGACGGGCTTAGAGACTATAAGGAAGGGATTACCCTCGTGCTATATATAATCCCTAGAACTTACGACTAACCGAGCTATAGATGCCGGCCGTCTTTAATATATTTTCTCTAAGTATAAAAGGGTAATTAGTAAGTAAACTAAGCTACGTTTACGTAGT